ATATATATATCTGTGTGTGTGTGTGTCGCGTACTCAGATTAGTTTGTCGGACATCAGTTTGTCAGTTGTAAGTCTTCTCTGGTATGGGGTTCAATTCCCCCCAAGTGTAAGGTGTGTTACTCGAATTATTAGACGTATGAGGAATGATCGAGGCTCGTATAATAGCCTCCGTCCATTCCTTCATATATATATATGTATGTATATGTATATGAATATGTATATGTATATGTATATGTGTGTGTGTGTGTGTGTGTACAAAATAAGTTTTAGTTTCATCACTTCACTTTTTAAATTTTGATGGCATTGAGTTGCCATAGGCCTTAAGACAAGTGGATTCTATGGTTGACAAAATAATCTTATATTTCTCAATCAGATTCATATTTAGCACAAAATTGAATCATTTTAGAAAATATATACATTTTCTATATATATATATAGAGAGAGAGAGAAAGAGAGGAGAGAGAGAGAGAGGAGAGAGGGGGAGGGGTAAGAAAATAAATACATTTTCCCCCATGATTTCCACTCCTGTAAACCAGTTATAAATAGGGTTTGTTGGGGAAGTGGCTTAATTATTATTTAGCCACATGGGCTCCATCATGCCGAGGTGTTTTGACATATGAGGACAACAAAAATTGTTTATTTGCACAAACTTATAACTAAAAATGCCAAATGCAGCAATAAAAATAATGATTATAATAATAAAGATAATATAGTTTATAATCAGCAGCATTGGGTAAAGAGCTTGGATCTGCGCAGTTACTTTTAATTTTAAAATAAAGAGAGAAGGTTTATTATTTATGACACAAACATTAAAAATTATAAGCTATATGTCTAAGCAGTTCATACAGACAAAAGTTCGCTCTAGTGGAAGAAAATATTACGTCCGATAAATCGAATGTGCTGTCGATAGTATAGATCGCACCATGCCACCAAACATTGGGGTGATCGTAAAGATGCTATTTAGACGAGTATTTAACTTCAATGTAATGCATGAGTGTATTGAATGTAAAATGATCTTATCAAATTGGTTAAAAAAATATTAGTAAATATAAATAGCTGACTCTCATTCATAGATTTCAAATTTTTTTTTATTAAAACTTAAAAGATTTAATAACCTGCAAATATAAATAAATAAATCCACTTTTAATTAACTTTAATTCACCAAATTAATAAGTGGTATTAGAGCTAAGAATTTAATTAGGGTCGAGTTATTTATGTGATTTGTAGCTCCCACGAGGCTCCATCTCTTCAATGGTTCGGTAATGGAACGACCAATGTGAAGAGTTGTGACAGAGAAATTATTTGTACATTTAGAAATAAAAGCTCGAATAAGTTCAAGCCGATAGATCCATATATGGTTCAAGCTTGATCCAAAGTTTCTGGTCATAGCTCTGCCCATTTATTTCAATCGAATATTCATCTGAACCAAAATTCGAATCAATTTTCGAGCGAATAACAGTGGGATATCATTAGCTATTTAACAACTAAAGTATATCACAGAAGAGAAAGGTCTCGATTAATATTAAATATTTCTTATAAACTTATATTATTAAATAAAGCAATATAAAAATCACTCATCTGCTCTTAGGAAATCAAAACCGTGCCAATTCATCCTTAAGTGCTCTACCCATCGTGTGGAAAAGTTGTTGCATGAAATTTAAAAAATAAGTATAGAGCACATGTCATGCTTTATTCTTGTCATAAATTTTATGCAAAATGTGTTTGTTACATAAAATTTGTTTTTCTTAGTTGACAAGAATAAAACAAGACATCCAATCTATACTTATTTTCTAATATGTCGTGTATCTCGGTATGTTGGTTTGCATCCTCGGTGTAAGACCCCTTAGGTCGGAGATACAAATCCTCTTTGGCACAGTTGGTCTTAAAGAGATGACACTCGAATTGTTAGACACATTATGAGTGGCTGAAGCCTTATACAATAACTCTGATCATTCATTTAAGAAATATATATATATATATATATATATATATATATATATATATATCCCTATCTAATGGAATAATTAATTTTATAATATAAAACTACAACTTTCTTAAAATATATATTAAGATGCATGATTTTGTAGTTTAGGGTTTACACATTTCAAGTAGTTGTTCGGTTTTTTTTTTTTTTTCCCTTAATAACATATATATTTTTAATTTATGCGTGTAAATTAATTTAAATTATTATTATTACTTTAGTCTAAAATTTCGTAATTAATTTTTTTTTAATTCTTAAATTCGAGTCCAGGAATACATATTCACTATCTAACATAATTATTTTCCCTGCATTTTAAGAATTGGATTGGTCACTTTAAGAGAGTTCAAATCCATATGATTGTGAGTAATATTTTTCTCATAATTTAATGCTTTAAAAAAGAAAAAAATAAAATTTGTTTTTTATAATTCTTTATAGTTTGTCTTATACATTACTATTTAATTATATATCAAATATGATTTTTTTTTATTCCAGATCTTAATAACCCTTAACAAATTTCATATTTAAGCCACCTTCGACACTTCATAAGCACTGATACACCACCAACAAATTTTCATTATCCAGCACGAATCTCGAGGCATAACACGAATCTCGATATGATATTTTAAGCAATAAACATTCAAATCTTAATAAAAAGTTATCCAGAGCTCCGATTGCAGCAAACTTATAGTCAAATGTTCAATGAGACGAACCTAATGATATGAAAAATAGTCTAATCCAAGTCAAATCAAGTCCAGATCAAATCGTTAAATCACAGTTAAAAGATTTATGAATACATTTGAAAAGTCAAACGACCGTCAAATATGACAAGTTTATACTCAAATCGAGCGGCTCGATAAGACGAATCCAACGAGCACAAGATCACTCAATTATGACATCATTAAGACACTCAAATGTCCATTAAACACCGTATGATCGAGGGAAGCTCTCAGACCCTCCAATCAAAATGGTTCATATTCTTGCATTAATTGCACCCAGAATACTATAAATAGAGCATCATTCCTCTCATGAGGGGGAAGGAAGTCTAGAGAGAGCCTGAGGTCTTGAGAAGAAGCTACAGCTCAACATCACCACTAACCGTCGTCGATCGCCGTCGATCGCTGATGACCACCGCCGAACTCAGACGACCACCGCCGACCGTTGTCAACCTCCACTTACCGTCATCAATCAACACCAACTAGACGCTATCAGTCGACATTGTAATCTGAAAAGTATAGTTGTCATTTTCCCTTCTGTGAGACAAGGGATTTCTGTAATCATCAATCAATAGTGGATTTCCGCAACTAGGCCAGACCCCGTGGTATTTCCCTAATTGGTTTTCCACGTAAAAACTTCTGGAGTCATCACCGTTTTTTTCTATTTCATTTGTGTGTGTGTTGAACTTTCGTACAACTCTAAGACGATAATTTGTTACTCTACCGCCGCGAATTTTCTAGCACGCATCAAGCACAGAAAACGTCTTATTGATATACTGCAGGAATTCACAGAATTGCAAAAAGTAAAAATCGTATAAAAATATAAAAAAAATTAGTCTAATTAAAAACCAATTGTTCGGATGATAAAACAGACATTGCTTTTTCATTCTGAAGATAAAAAATCGTCAAAAAACATAAAATTAGATGAATCAAACGTGTTTAATATCACTCAATTAGGACATTATTAAGGCAGTTAAATGTCCATTGAATGTAGTCCAATCAAAGTAATCTCTCCGGGCCGTTCGATGAGAGTGGTCTCGATTCCTTTCCTCTTTACAACTTAGACTCTGTAAATAAAGCTCTACCTCCCTCTTGAAAAGGGATCTCGACCAGAAGCAAAAGAAGAGAGGAAGGAGTTTAAGGTAAACATTGCTTCTGCACCACAAATCCGTGTCATATCTCAAAATTCATGCCGGATTACATAAATTTGTTGGGAGCATACCAAGGTTTTATTTTTAATAATATTTTTTTACCATTTTTTATATTTTTATTTATTGTTTAGAAAACTTTATTTGTATTTAGATTTATTCATATTTGTCAGCATTTTTAAATATTTTTAACTTAAAGTAATAATAAGAAAGAAAGGGAAATAAAATACAAGGCATCCGAAACATTGATATTTACAAATCAGACACCCTTTTTAATCCATTTCCAAATTCTCACACAAATACTAAAGTTCATGATAAACCCTCAACCCATATTTTTCATTTTTATCTAACTCTCAATAATTATATCGTATGTATCGGTTTTTTGGTTTGTAAATAACAATGTTTTGGATGCTCTGTATGTAATTATCTCTAATGTGAATAATAATAATAAATAAATAAATAAATAATATTGAATAATTCTAAAAAAAATTGAATTAATAATAGTATTATACTTAAATAAAAAATAAAACCGAAAATATAAAATAAAAATAAAAATAAATCAGTATTTATATACCGATTCTGCCCCCTTAAATATATATATATATATCATAGAGAAAGTCCAAAGCTCCTCCAACCCAACATGGCCAAAAAGTCCCCTCTCTTCTCCTTCCTCCTACTCCTTCCCTTCCTCCTAACTCTCACCCAAGCAACATCCAAAGACCAGCCATGCAAACACATAGTTCTCTACTACCATGACATACTCTTTAACGGCACCAACGTCGCCAACGCAACCTCCGCTCAAGTTGCAGGCACCAACGCTCCCCTCGGCGACTTCTTCTTCGGAAAGCTCATCGTCTTCAATGATCCCATCACCGCCGACCACCACCTGTTTTCTCCTCCGATTGCCATGGCGCAGGGGTTCTATTTCTACAACATGAAGACGAACTACAACGCATGGTTTGCTTTTACTTTGGTCTTCAACTCTACGGAGTATAAGGGGACGATCAATATCATGGGAGCTGATTTGATGGCGATGGAAACTAGGGATTTATCGGTTGTTGGTGGTACTGGAGATTTCTTCATGGCGAGAGGGGTTGTAACTTTGAGGACTGATACGTTTCAAGGATCTGCCTATTTTCGTCTTCAAATGGATATTAAACTATATGAATGTTATTGAAGAACTGCTGAGATAATGTTATTTATGTTAGATGTGATAAAGTTATTAGTTACAGAGTCTGCATGTAGTGTCATATAATAATGTACTCATGTGTTGTACAGTGTACAATACTGCTGTACATATAAGAAGTCTGCATGCATGTTAACTTTGTATCTAATTTTGTCGTTGTTGTGTGTGTATCTCCATGCTCGCTTAAGCAGGATGATGAGCTTAAGCGACCATGGATATATATATATATATATATATTCATTTGAGGTGGGTGATGAGTCAGTTGCCAATGTTTTGGTAGCTAGGCTTTGATGCGTTAAGGAGACTCCAAATTATTCACTAAAAATATAGGTTCGATTATTCTACCAAAACAATTATATGAGGGGGGCATTTACGAATTTTTATGCATTTTAGATATCAAATATCTAAATTTTACTTTCTTACATATCATATTACATTAAAAATATTATTATTTTAATGTATTTATCCATTTTTCTTGTTAAATATAAAAAAAATTTTGGTTTTAAGAATGGAGAGGCTTGGTGGGCCCTCCAAACTAAGAAAGTTTTGTCGTATTTAAATTTGTATTACTAGAAAAAAAAAATTAGCATAAAATATATACAACTCAAATTAGGATAATAATAGTTTTTTTTTCAATGCTCACATTGGATACTAGTTGAAGGTTATATTTTATTTTATTTTATTTTATTTATTTAATTATTTTGTAGAGTTGAATGATTTTGGAGACATGCATCTAATAAAAAAATTTATTAGGGTATTTCAAAATATAATTTGCAGTAAAAAATAAAAAATAAAAAAAGAAATATGAAAGAATACTATTTTACGATCTCGCCTATCCTAATCTTGTGAACCTTGCCCCATGCACTTGACCCTCGCTTCCTTGCCATACTATTTTACGATAATGAAGAACCTTGTGGATAATATTGCATCGATAGGCTCCAAAGTTGACAGGAAAAACATAATTTTTTACACTTTAAATGGACTGCCAATCAGTTATCAAGGATTTAAGACTATCATTCACACTACATTAGATCCAATTACATTGAAGGACTTATACCCACTGCTACTTAGCAAAGAGTGTAATCTGGCAAACAAATCCACCAAAATTACACAACACACAACCTTACCATCTTATAAAAATAAAGGGGAACCTTACAATTTAAGAAATTCAAGCAAGAACTTTTCCAACAATTAGAATTCCAATACCATTGTTATAGCCAAAAATAAAACAAATGTGATCAGTCAAGTATGCAATAAAAAGGTCATTCTGCTTACCAAAGTTGGCACAGATCTAATCTTCAGTACATCACCCAACCCTCAAGCTAAGGCACTAAACTCTCACCTTCGACCACAACGACAAGAGTCGGTATTACTCTGGCGCAACAACACATCTCACACCATATCTGGGCAACATACAATTAGAAAAATTCTGATCAAGTTCTTGTTAGAAATGGACAACAAACATGCATCCTACATATTGGTAAAGGTATACTTCTCACTCTTGACAGTAAGAACTCTCTCACCCCTCTTTTGCGCTCCCAAATTACCTCATAAGCTCGTATCTGTAAATAAACTCACTAAAGATAATAACTGTCAGATTATTTTCAATGCTAATTAATTTTAAATTCAATATTTGAAAACCAAGAAAGTATTTCTAACTGGAGCAGTTGATCAAGGTTTATACCCTATCATCGCTCTCACTACCTCCAAAGGCTTCAACATATGACACAAACACTTGGGACATTCACACCACATTGTTCTTTCAATTATTTATCTCTCTTTGTACCTCACTTAAACATTATTCTACTTAGATATATTTGCCATGAATGTTATCAGATCGAAAGTCATAAGCTACCTTTCTCATGTAGTATTACTACTTATAAAATTTTAGAAGTGATACATCCTGACATATGGGGGTCTTTTTGTCATCATTCACTTGAAGAATATAAATACAAACTACTTTTATATATTTTTACTCTTGCTTTTTGCTGGTGTTTTCCGCTAAAATATAAATCTAAAACTACCTCATATATAGGGACTCTTATGACATAGCATTGTGTTGTGATGAATGGAATTTATGAAGTTTTTCTCTCTAGACTTTCTCTAATCTCTTCTTTTTCCCTTGAAGCATGTTATTAGTAAAATTCAAGTACCTGTGTGTGTGTGTGTGTGTGTGTGTGTGTGTGTGTGTGTGAGAGAGAGAGAGAGAGAGAGAGAGAGAGAGAGAGAGAATTTTGAGCTATTAGCCTAGAAATTTATGTCTTTATAAAAAAATGATTTATGGTAAAGTCTTGTTTACATGAGCTATATTTTATACTCTAAGGATTAGGCCCACACAACTAAATTTACTATTTAAGAAAAATAAGGAACAAAGATAAAATTCATCATCCCTTAAAACCATGGATATTTCCTAAACAAATATTAGAAAGTTATAATTGTATGGCTGAAATCCCTTTGTCCAGGCTCAAGCTCCATTAGAATGTCTCTATTGCGTTGCCAAGGAATACACATTAGAGGATCAATATTCAGGAGATTCAAACTTTCCATATTCCCTGAAAAAAATATCCTTCAAAGGAGAAATTATTCCACATGGACAGCGTATGCAGATCTCGATCGTCAATCACAGCTTTTTTGTTTTGTTTTTTTTTTTTTTTTAAATTGGACCCACCGAAATTGTTGTGATCGACGGTTGAGATCGGACAGCGCATACATCTTTGCATGTGCTGTCCGTATGGAATAATTTTTTGCCTCAAAAGCGCATCACAATAAACAGCCCTTTTTTAAAGGGAAAAAAAAGGTAGAAATATATTTAAATTTAAAGAAGGCCGAAAGGGCCCATAATTTGGCTTTTGGCCCAATGTAAAAGGAGACCAAATGCTGTTTGATCGGGCTGCTAGTGCCCAGCTGTGTCAAAATAAACTTTAAAGATGAGTTCATTTTTAATTATTTATTATTATTTATTTTTAAAAATATTTTGATTTAGTATTTTTACTCTAAATTTTTTTTCATTTAAAAAATAAATTAATTTTTTTAAAAAATACATCTAAAACTTATTTTGAATGTTTTTAAAATAATTATGCTATAGCATATCACGCATATCTCATTTTAAGTAAAAATATTAATAAATAAAACAAAATTTTAAAAATAAAAAATAAAAAAAATCCCTAAAAGTCCCTAAAATGTCTGAAAATGTGGAATCTAACTTCTATTCGAAGTAAAATATTTAAAATTTATGTAATATGCTTCCTTTTTTCTTAAAAAAAATCTCAAATAGCATAGTTTTTTTCTTAAAGTTATAATTTATGTGATATATATATATATATATATATATCCCTTAAAATATGCTTAAATTGTAGTGCTGAGAGAAATGAAAATCTTTTACAATATGAAGCAATCAAAAATTAAAAATAGGATTCAAGTAGCATTTTAGAAGCTTCTATTTCTTTTGACTATGATGTAAATCAACTATGTGGCAGCTAAGTCAGCATACAAACAGTGTTTATTGTGCTTTATAGAAAATATTTTGACTGAATTCAGCAATGAATTACTCCAAAAACAATTTAGCAAATTCATCAAAGTTATGAATGATCCATCCTGAGTGAAAAAAACCAAGCACGTGTTTGACGTTTAAGAGTTGCAAAAAAGACTTGATAAAGAAGCGAGTCAAAGCTCGTTGTATGTGCATGATAGTTCTATAATGATCAATGTGTTCATATGGGTTAGACATCCTATCATAAGAATCCATGCCTGGAAGCTTAAACCCTGTTAGAATCAGGTGTTGAAGGATGATCTTAGATAATGGAGAATTCTCTTGAAAATTACATTAGCAGGAGGAAAATTTTATTGCATTAAACGCCATAACTCTTCTAGGATTACATGAGTTTGAGCTAAGTTCTCTACGCGTGCTGGAGGTTTGTTGCTAGGCTTGACTACAATGGATGGATATGTGGAGTTAGTTGTGTCCAGAAGGTCAGCTTCCTTTGAAGAAACTCTAGTGTGTGGAGAGGGTGATAACTGCATACCTTTAATGGATTTTAAGGTATTTGTTACCCTCCGTTATGGACTATTATCAGTTATCGAGACCTACGTAAATGTCAGAAAATCTCATTTTAAGATTCATCTATTCTTCGTACAATATCTTCAAGAGGTGTAAATGAAGTTTCTTTGCCAGTTGGGTAATGTATCTCATTAGGAAAGTATGCAGAAGCTTGACATATCGGACTTTGAAATTGTGTCCTTGAATGATGAGAATTATTGTGAGAAGCTCGTTTATTGTATAAATTATTCATTGAAGAAATGTATAATTTTAGAGATAAGATTTTGTTTCTCACATATGGAGACAAATTGTTGCTTGCCAGAAGATTTACGGCATTAGAGTGGTTATTTAAAGTCTTAGTGTTACACAAAGATCTGATACACATAGATAAAATGAGAAAACACTAAGGTTTTATATGTGAAAAAATCTTAGAAGAAAAAAACATAGATCATAGCCTAATCAAATTAATCCACTATGTGGTGAAAGTACATGTTTACGTCTTTATCTCACGATAGGGAGAATCAGGTTAACATCTTACACTACTCATATTTATACAACACAAAGAAAATACCTACATAGTGTTGCAGGCAGTGGTCGTTGGTGGCCAGTGGTCAGTGGCGATAGGCGGTGACGGTTGGTGGTGGTCGATGCTTTCCAACGATTGGTGGTTGACAGTCATTGGCGACTATGAAGGCTAGTGGTTACTTGTCGGGTCTTCTATACAGAATATATATTGAAATTTTAGTTGTTCTTTTCCTCGTCTTCGCTGCCCCTTAAGTCAAAAGATGGGGTTTATTTATAATCTTTTAAGGATTTGAGTGCCTTAATGACATTAAAATTTAGTGATCTTGGACTTGTTGGATTCCTCTCATCAAGATGCATGATTCAACTTAATATATGTCAAATTTAGAGTTTATTTGATCATTCAATTAAATATCAAAATTATTCAATTATGAT